AAGCATCCAGTTTGTGAATCGCGGTGCACGAACGCGCGCACGATTCGAATCCTATTCGAACGTAGACGGAACGAAAGCATCTACTGCGAATGCGACGAGAGAGTGAGACGCGCGTTACGAAATCGAGGCAGGGACAGGCGAACGCGGAAGATGGTGGTTGGAAAAGGAAGAGCCATCGGCGCGGCGCGACCGGTTCGCGTAGCTGGAGGCTGAAGGCAAAATAGAGCATGGAATTGGCGCGTGTCATCGAGCAGCAGATTCGAACATTCATCTTCGGGCGCATAAGTTTTCTCCGGGTCGAAACTGGTTCGCGGATAGGAAGGTTTTTAACCTTGGCGTAGCGTCGTCGGGTTCGATTTAAAAAAGGAGGAGAAAAAAGGAAGGAAAAAGGAAACCGTGTGATGAAAAACCATCGCGGTTTCGCCACCTTTTTCTTCCTCTTCTTCTTCATCGTCCTTTCTCGTCCGAGACTCGGCTTTTATGGTCGCTCGTAAAACAATGTAACAATGTTCACGCGCTGCCGTGCCACTCGCCGAATAACGCCTCGAATCAAGTGGTGCCGGGATAAATCCAACCTCTCGTCGTCGTCTCAGTTTTCCAGTTCGAGGAAACGAATTCTTTTCACGGTCGACCGACACCTTTTCACGCGATTTTGTCACGAATTCGATTTCCAATTTTTCCTGGCGAACTCGAACATCGAACAAACAAATTTTTTTCTCTTACTCTCTGAAATTATTCGGTGGTCTTCCAGTCGAAATTTCTCTTTTTAGCGTATCCTTCGTTCGTTGGAGCTCCATTTAGTCGTCGTTCCAGACGTTGTACCAGAGTTCGCGTGATCTAGAAAGGTAATTCCGAACGGGTCAATAGCCTAGAACGCGATTCCTCGCGGCTGGATGGATGAAGGCATTCGCGATCGGAGAAAGTTTTCAAGCGTAGGATAACCGACCAAGGGTACACGGTATCGCGTCGAACGATAAATATCTAAATGACCAAATTATCGGCTATCTTCGTTTCTCTCTCTATCTCTCTCTTTCTCTCTCCATTTCTTTTTCGCGCGTCTCCATCTCTTTTAATCTTAACGATCGGAACCGTTTAACCGGCGATTCACAGCGGTTGCAGCCGGGGTAACAAAGCGTTTCTGGCCCAGTTTCCTCGGTTTCTGGTTCTGAGTGTCGAGCCACTCGGATTCCATTGAGCGGCTCCGTTACTTTCACGATGCTTCAATTGGTTTTGCTATTAATAGCGAATGCGCTCGTCGGAACAATAGGGCAACGCGGAAAGTGGAATGGCCTGGTGATGTTGGACGCGCCGGAGGATAGGATTATTGTCGATGCTGCAATATCGACGGAGGAGGAGGGGGAGAGGGTTGCCGACTGAAATCGGTCGTATGGTTTAACGCGTAGAATATTTGCACTCTCGAGCGAGCACGGTTCCGTGACGGGCCAATTGTGATCGGGCTAAACGATAATAGAATACCGGGTGTCCCTTTTTTCAAGCACGACGGACGATCTATCATCGCGTAACGAGATCTTTGGATGATCAACGATGATTTATCGTTCGATGCTTCGATCTGTTTAACCAGATGATTCTTCCAAAAGAGACGGAGGAGACATCTAACGGATCGGATAATTTCTAATTTCATCTGGTTGAAGAAGGACGGTAAAAGGGTAAGCACGGTCGGGTGCTTACGAATCGATCATTGTCCCAAACGATACGGAACGAAAGACGCTTTGATAATGGCGCGTCCCGATTTATTTTGTCCCGCGTGGAAGCGGTAATTGAAGCTGCTGAAGGGGGAGGAAGGGGGGAGGGGGAAATCACTCGAATTTGAAATACTCCGCGTGAAATATTTCGCCACGCTTCCGCGATCCGTTCATTACATGGTCACCGAGTAAGAGGATCGGTGTTCGGGACACAATGCGCCCAGAGAAACGCGTTGCAAAATGTCGGCCCGAGTTTTCGCGAATTGCTACACGCGGCTCGTGTCGCTATCATCGGCTCGCCTACTCGTTCGATCCACACGTACACGTTTCGAGCCTTCCAGCCAC